TAAATTGTGGATAAATAAATAATATCATCAAGCGATCATGGAGACAACGAGTAAAAGCTTTTCAGGAACATTTCATATTTGATTCGTGCAGTTTCAGCCTAATATTTATCACGACATTTGAAACTGTTTGGTATTTTGTGGCGAAAGCCAGTGACAGCTTGCACAGCCGTTTCAGCAGCTGTGCTTACGACCATCCCCCACCCACCAACCCCTTGTCGAGGATTTTCTCGACCATTTTTCACAGTGCTACGTACTGTGGAGAATGACTTGTTTTCCTTGAGATATACGGCTGTAGTCAAACTCAGAAAAACGGTAGTTATTAAAGGAATCTTGCGCGGAAAAATCATGATTCTATTTCAGCCATAAATCACTGGCTTGAGACTCATTATCCACGATAATAGTGAAAAGAACTGAAGTATTGCTTTCGTTTTGATTAGAAATTCGAAAACTCGAAAAGGCTGCTACGCGTTCGAATTGCCCACGGACGTCTTTCACGAATGCTGGCGACGGGGATGCTCAAACTTGGTTCTTGGAGTGCATTCACTAGAAGCTCTTTCTGGCCTTCTGCTTCGTTGCATTCACATCTTACACTTCTACTCCATCCTATTCCATCGATCGATTTGTCTCCACTCTCCGAAATCGCGCGCTTTAACCCGATTCTCTCATTGCGTCGCCTGGTACGTAGCCGGCCAAACGCCGTCTTCTTTCCATGCCTCGCCTGGCTCTGCCTCCTGGTCCTTCGATGGTCCATAACGTGTAGTTTTTGTACGTTTGTTTCTCTTCAGAAACCGAATCTTCATGCGTGAAACTTTGTGTGCTATTTCCAGTGATCACAACTGACATATTCATGTTAGGAAAGAGTGCAAGAATTTTCCGCGCAAGATTCCTTTAAAGCATTTAATGCCAGTCACAATTCGCTAAGTTTATTATGATGGGAACTAAATTATCGAGAATTCATGCTTTCTTCACAAATATTCACAGCTGTGGCTTTGGAGCATTTCATTTGAGACTAATCGAAGTGTGAGGTTCAAGACGCTGTCATTCCGTGGGTATGTATTGCCATTGAAAAGCGGGTGTCTCCCAAGAGGCCCATCGCGCGGCGAAGGAAGAGACGCAGATGCGGCAAAGGACGAGTCGCAGCGCGTGCTGTGCGATATGAGACGTAGTATGGTACACTCTATTTAACCTGACGCCTAACCGCTACAGTATGCGCTGCGACTCGTCCTTTGCCGCGTCTGCTCTTCCTTCGCTGCGCGATGGGCCTCTTGGGGGACACCCTTGAAAAGCAGTTAGTCGAACACAGAACTGATGCAATGAATTGGATAAATCAACAGTCTACTAAATCAGTGACGGTCCAATTTCGTAAATCTTGGAGTATTTTTTGAGAGCTTATGATAAAGTGACAGTCCGCGGTGGAATAATCCGTCGTAACACGTGGACTAAACAAAAGTGAGTAGGTAGCATTGTGTCTTCGAAAAAAAATCATCCTTCGGAATAAGAGAACACTTTCGCGCCACTCGTTGTGGCTGCGTACCTCGGAATGGACAGTCTTTAAGAACTGAGAGTAAGGCCACTTGCTGAAGTAGCCTGAACTTTTACCGCCCCTAAGAAATGCGAGCAGCAACACTCTCACAACCGTTTTAACAAGCGCCACTTATGGAATAGACCATTAGGAAAGGATAGAGCAAATCTCTAGCAATGGGATCATGTGGACAATTTTTTGGACTATTCATTGTTTAATAACTAATTCAAGCGATCGAATTCGTGATCGTGGAAAGGCCATTATGAATTAATAACCAATCTCGGACAGTTTTTTGAGATTTACAATTCACTATCATTTTTAAATGACTTGCTGTTTCAATTATTGATTGTGACACGACTTCAACAGCTTTTACTCGTGGTCTCCATGATCGCTTGATGATATTATTTATTTATCCACAATTTGACTCCATGCGGTCGTCCTGAACGCTCCTCACGTTCTGACGGATCGCCACTGTGCTATGCTACACTGGATTTTCAGGTCACAAATCCAACCCCAAAATAATGATGTGCACAACCTTGTAGGCGTACAGGATAGTCCAAAACTCCAGCACGTGAAAATACCTAAAAATCCACTCAGTTTTGTAACCACCACACACCGCAGCTGATCTTCGTGATTACCAGAATCGCGGTGGGAAGGAACGCGACAAAAGTGGAGAAGTGATGAGATTGTATCATGGTCTTGGAAACTGCTTTAAATATCTTAGATTGGTAGCACTCTTCCATTCGCAACAAGTCGTCGGGCACCTTTCATTCGTTTCCGAGGGAGTTATACATATTAGTGGCGCGTAGCGAAGCGAATTCAGTCGACGCCAAGTGTAGTCCTTCTGATAGTCCTTCTGATTCATCAAGCCTGTGTATTCTAGAAGCATTCTGGGGGACCTGAAAGAGGTTCCTTGCAACGTGTAGTAGGAGTAAGTTTCAGGAGTTGGCTTGAAACCTTCTCGTCATCACCTCGACGCAGATATCTCGCAGACCAGAAAGCTTTAACTAATATGAATACACTAGATATAAGCAATCATCTCCTTCCAAGGGTTTCCTCCTAATTTCTGAAGCTCAACAACGCAGAAAGTTTGGTCTTTCCAGGATTGAGAACTCACATGTGATTTTCTACTTCCTCGACAGTTTCTCAACGAGGTCTATCGAAGTAGGATACGTTCGGAAAAAGTGAACAGTAGAATAAGGGTAAAGTACTCCCAGAGGTCACTTTCGATTTTTTGCATACTTTTCGGCAGGGTGAATAACGGTCGAGGAATTCCTCGACCATAGCTCTCTACCATGCGAGAGTAGTGCCGAGAGTGAACATCCGCGCGGAGAGCACAGACGGCACGCCATGGCGAGTGTGAATGTCCGCGCGAGAGATCGTGTCTGACCGGGCAGAGAATCCTCGACGTGCCGTTGAGGAATCCTCAAGCGATATTCACCCTGATTGTCGGTGAGGAAAGTTGTAGTCCTTTAAAGAGAAGGTATTCGACGCTTTTTCGAAATGGCGCGCTCCATTTGGCATTTTTGCGCCCATTCGCGTGTAGCGCAAAATTGTTCAGCGCAATTGTGGGTAAGATATTCCGCCTTTCCGTTTTTTCCTAGCCAAGATCCATCCTATCTTTTGCTTTTGTTTTCTCCATCCCCCACAATTAAGTCAGTTTTCAGGTTAGTGGCCAACCGAGTTCAGTACTTTATTTCCTGTTTGATTTTTCTGATTCGTTTATTGCTATTTCTGTCGCAGATCGCTATGCAAATGGGGTCACAAGGATGCTGAATATGCATAAAATCATTTGCCACTGTTCAAAGACCGTGGGTGAACAGTGATTGCGGACCTTGATCTCGGCTAGATCCGGATAGGATCCAGCGTTCTCTGTGTAACCCAACATCCAGCCAACGTTCCTTTTTGTATTTTGAAGGTTCCGATTCTGCATAGCACTGCTATCCGGCACTAATTTTTCACTTTGTTATGTAGCACCATTAGTCTACTTTTGCAGAGCTGTGCAAGTCTGCTTTAGGTAAAAATTGTCCGAGTGTTACTTAGCCTCGAACTCTGAAACCCTGTCCAAATAATTCACAAAATTCCATGATTTTCATCAGTCGTTGAGCAACTGTAGAAAAACATCCGAGTCAGTATTAAATGCGATGGAAATTCAAAGTGATCGCTCCATCGAATATTATAAAGTTGCTCAAAAGTGGGCCTCAAACTTTGAATTTGAGAAATGTGAATATGAAGAGAACTTATTCAACAATCACTGACGTATCAGCTCTTTATTCTAGCACACCATCAGTTTGTCCACTTGCATGCCTGTTTGATAGTCGAACATAAGTGTTGACCCCTCCCTATCAATCTTTTGGCTCACTGCCTCCGCCCTTGCCATGTCGCTTCCCGTACACTACCGTTCTAACCAGAATGCGTATACAACGGGTTAATGTGAATCATGCTACGACTCAGATCGTAGCATTATTTAACTCCACAAATCCATCCTGTTGTTCATTTGGATCGTCCTCAATGCGTGTGTACTCGTTCTACGGATTCCGAGAATTCCCGATCCATTTGTGATGATTTGTCCCTTCCTTTTCCCCAATCAATGATCAACGAGGGCCAAAACCCAGGAACACGCCGAATCAGTCTAGATGCACACAGATCTGCCAACGTCCTTAGTTTAGTTCGATGTTTACAATGTGCACGATGAAAGTTCTAAGTCTCTCCGGAGCCTCCTACTCAATAAGGAGCAAATGTGAAGCGCAGAAACTCCCTCGGCAAATTCTCTGCATACCCATTTGACATCAGAAGGCCAAAGAACTGAGAAGAGAGAAGAGAGAGAGGACTTCCGATGAACAAGGTTAAAGAAGATTGATGTAAAAACACATAACTGAGGCCTCGAAAAGCTCATCGATCAGGATGTTCTTTGCTACACAGTCAAAATGGTAGTGTTGTGTCGACTTTCTCTGCACATGGTGCGAAAACGCGTGAGACTGACAGCGCTCGCTGGAAAGGGAGGAACTATAAGGCAGAAATATGATTTATGTACTTTCTTGTAGTTACCCGGGCAACATTGCTCTAGCTAGTTAGCTTCGGCACTCGACAGACAATGGCAAAGCGTCCTTTGTGTTCATAGGCGGTTTGAACTGTAAATGATATATGTTGCCACATATGGACACTGCTACCCTGGCAACGGGCACGGCGCCTGATACGCGCCCGAAGAAGGAATCCTTGTGGATTCTTTGCGGCCTGCAAAAACTTGCTGAACTTGCCGAAAGCTACAAGCAATGGCAGAATACGATCTCTACTCCGAGCGCTCCTCGTGGCAACCTGGTACCGCTCTTGTAGTTCTGGAGAGGTACCCACCACGGTGATAGCCTGCGGTCAGCGTATGTCAGATATCTGGAACTGTTACTGCTGAGCGTGTGCAGGTGAATTTTGAGAAACGGCTTATTGGGAGATTCGCTGCCAACTACAGGCATGCCACTTCTCCCACGATAGAAGCGCCTCGTTAGAAGAACTGCAGGGCGCATTTTGCAGGATTTATCGAAGATTGGCAACACAATTCTTGTTCGACAACTTAAACATCCGTCAATCATGTGTTAGTACGACGTTCATCCACGAGAGTCATAGACGCAAATTGCTACGAATGCAGAAGGAAGGGGTCAAGCGAAGCCCCAGCCAGAAGTGCCTCCATTTTGCTGCTGCCTGCAGCGTTAAAGCTCGGGGAGAGTAGGAGCACATGATGAGGTAACTCAAGGACCATCTCACTATGAGACAGCCAAAGATCAGGAAGGTACAAGAGGTCACACTTCTTATCTGGTTTATCAGCGCTCCGAGTGTCTGACAGAGGTGTCTCTGTCTAGTGTTTGCGAGTACTGGAAATATATCTTCGGTGAAGAGCATTCATTCAACATAAGCCCTGAGCTCGAATAATGGTTGGAGAGGCTAGGATCCCTACCTAAAGAAATCCCTCTATGGTCTAGTAGTAAGCCAACTGAGGATACCTGAAAGAAATTGTTCAGCGGCTGAGAGTTGAATTCCGACCTGGTTTTGCCAAGGAAGGAGTTGCTTTCATGCCGAAAAAGAGAGGACGAGACCTCAGTCCGCTGGAACTCAATATAGCATGTAAATTCATGCGGCAAAGTCGTGAATAGCATCAGTACGCCGGTTCTCCAGTCGTTAAGTTGCACTGCCGGAAGGCATTTGGGGTTGTCATGCCCAACTACTAGACCAGCCATCTGAGGGTGCAGAAAGATTCAGGCAAGAATTGCATATGCTGTGGGAGACATCCTTCCAAGCAAGAGTAAGGTTGCTGAAAGCTGATACTTGCCAAGTGGTTTTTCCAGTCAGTAACTTTCAAGTTATTTGAATGCTCCCGATGGTCCACGTTCAAAAAGACGCAGAGCGCTTTAACAGTCGCGTAAGGAAACTCCGGACGTCTTCAAAAGATGGACAAGAAGTTCACTGAGTGCAGTTTCTACATGAAACAAAGAGCTCGTTTGTATGTATATGATCAGAAATGTTTGATGTTTTCCCGTTTAGTTTTTCAACTTCACTTTTGGATTTGGTATGCGCTTGTTTTAGAAACTATCTGTGTTGTACAACAAACTGTAATCAAATTCATTTAGCACAAGGTTCACTAGCTATAACGTAACATCACCAGACAGGTAATGAATCAGTCAATTAGGCGGTCGTGAATATTGAATTGCAACAGTCTCACACCTATCACAAGTGCAACGAATAAGTTTGCACGTGTTCATGTTTCTTTCTGTTACAGGTGATTT